TAAATTCCCTGGCCTCAGGATGTAAAGTTCTAAATATATCTGTCAGATCCATCTGGTCCAGTGTGTCTTTCAAGTCCATTATTTCTTTAGTGATATTCTGTCTGGTTGACCTATCCATTGCTGTAAGCGGAGTATTAAAGTCCCCTGCTATTAGCACATTCTTATCTATAAGCTTGTTCCTGTTTGTGATTAATTGTTTTAGATATTTAGGTGCTCCTATATTTGGTGCATAGACATTTATGATTGTTAGTTCTTCCTGGTGGATGGACCTGTAATTATTATGTAGTGCCCTTCTTCATCTCTTGTTATTGTCTTTAATTTAAAGTCCAGTTTGTCTGATATAAGTATAGCTACTCCGGCTTTCTTTTGATTTCCTGTAGCATATTTCTCCATCCCCTTACTTTTAATCTGAAGGTATCTTCCAGTCTGAAATGAGTTTCTTGTAGACAGCATATAGATGGATTTTGTTTTTTAATCCATTCTGCTACCCTATGTCTTTTGATTGGAGCATTCAGCCCATTTACATTCAGTGTTATTATTGAAATATGTGGGTTTAGAGTCTTTGTATCTTTTGTAGGATTCATGTTTGTGGTGGTGTCTCTGGTATCTTTGTTCCTTGCAACCTTGCCTTCAGAGCATCCCCTGACTGAGCTCACTTTTGAATATGTTGTTTTGAGCTACCTGTGAAATGTGAATTGCCTGATTTAGGTATGAAGCCAAGGAGAGTGGTTTGGGTTCTAAATATAGCTGTAGGAGTCATCAGGCTTGAAGTGGCAATTGAAAGCATTTAGACTGGCTGAGATTATTCCAGGAGAGTTTGTAGAGTAAGAAGAACAATGAGTTATTTATAAATATCATGAGAGTTATTTAGAATAATAGTCTTTAAATTTTATAGATGAGATATTGAGAGATTTGGGGTTTTGCCTTGATATCTAAGCAAGAGAAAATGGGACTTGAAGTTAGGTCTTCTAACTTAGTGTTTTTTATTATATTGGCCTCAAAACTACTAATTTAGAGGAAACTTAGGGATGTTTGCTTTGGAATGTCCCAAAGGAGTAATCCAATTATTGGTACAATGTATCTTTATGTATGAATTCTAGAGAAACAGATTTAGCATTTATTTTATCCACATGTCTCTATTATTCTAGTATGAGAGTTTCTATAAATATGTTAGATCACAGAAAACTTGATTCTAAGTCCATGGAAGGTTAATATAAAATTTAACCAATCTCCAACCTGTAGATCTTTTTGGAATGATTAGCAATGAATTTTATTAATCTGCCCATTAAGAAAGAGCACAGGAAATTTTGGAAACAAACAGAAACTGAGTGCCAGGACATTCCCACAGTCACAAAAGAAACTTGGCATCATTAGTACCTTGCTTTAACTATTTAGTTAACAGAAAAAAAAACCAAATATTTGTAAAATAACAATATAATGTTAGGACATTAGTGTTTTCTATGCAATACATTTTATGTACTGCTTAATAACTGTCATTAACTAACACAGTCATGTTTATCCTTGTTTCCCTTAGAAACTGACATATACAAAGGAAACTGTAAGCAGGTGAGTGTTGTCCCCCCCCCCCCCCCCCGATTTCATGTTTGGCAACTGAGATGTGTCATACCTATTCCAAGACTCACCCCCAATTTAATGGACCCTTTCTATTTTTTTTGCCAGTTCCTGCAATGACCAGGGCTGTGGGTAAGTCTCAAATGCCTTTCCTCATCTTGAGGTCCTTGGCATTCAAGGTTATCATCACAGTCACTGTGCTTGTTTACTTTCTGAACTTGCCAGTAGGCAGACTTATTCCTTTCTCTTGGGTGAGGAAAATAGACTTCTGGAAATGGAATGTGGCATGAACTACTTTTGTTGAGGTTTATGGATAAAGTAAAAATGTTATTAAATTATATGCCTTAGTGGAGAATAGTTTATTAAATGATGGTTGGTGGTGTAGATCACTTTACTGATAAATGATGATTATAATTTTGAAATATAGAAATAACATGGAGTGCTTTGGGTAGCTCAGTCGGTTAAGCATCCAACTCTTGATTTTGGTTCATATCGTGATCTCACAGTTCATGGGTTCAGGCCCCACATAAGGCTCTGCACTGACAGTGTGGAGCCTGCTTGGGATTCTCTGTCTCCCTCTCTCTCTGCTCCTCCCCCATTCATGCTCTCTCTCTCTCTCTCTTAAAAAAAAAAAAAGAAATATAGGAATAACTCAACCTTGATGAATCCTCAATATTAGGATTTCTGGCTCTATTGGCCTTTAGATTTAGGGTTAAGGTCATTTCTGGGTCCTGAGCCATAGCAGTTTAGAGCAGATCATGGAAGGTGAAGAATTTTTAGTGTATAAGGATTAAAGATTTCAGTTCTATCCATACTCACAGTATCTAGATTATGCCAGTGTATGGGTGATTATATAGAAAAATACCATTATGGCCTACAGTCCAGGTCAGTGCCTCACATTAGAGAGAAAGACAGATTGAAAAACCAGTTAGGTGATTCAGTGTCTGGAGATCCAATCTGAGCAGCAGAGTCTAGGCCAAAGCATAGCTGGAGTACACATGTGAGTGTTAGTAGGGTATATATAGGGTTCAGATCAAACATGAGTAAACAGGACAGAAGGGGACTCTGTGGTCTCACTCATTGATACAACTAACGTTACCACTGAGTCTCTCTGCTTGGGCCTGGGATGGAGCACCCGCTTAGATGTTGGGCCATGCATTTTCTTAGGTGTGGGCTCTCACCACTGAGAAGCAGAGCTTGGAAGTTCCTTGTGATTGCCATTGTACACACAAGCAGTGAACTAAGTACTCTGGAGAGTCCCACCAGTCCTAGTAATCTTCATGGTTGTAACTAATGAAAATAGTGGCACATTTTACACATCTTATCTGGAGAAGAAGTATGTTAACACCTTAATACATATGACACTTAACCTGGAAGAAGTCTGAAGTTTACTGGGAAGTGGATGTTGGCAAGTTTGTAGCTTGTGGGTTATTATAAAGTGGTGGAAGGAGGCTTACCTGAAATAGGATGGACGGTTGTAACACCATATGAGGGTGGGTGTGGCTTATGGCACATGGGGTAGCTGGAAGATTATGTAAGGTATGGTGTATGTATGTTTTGTGTATTCCTGTGTGGCTCACTTCAAGTGGGTGCAGTTTTCTTTGGTTTCCTAGCATGTCTCACAATGAAATTATGCATAAATAAAGGAGAAATTTTGTGTTATTCACAGTTGTTTCCTACTGTGTTAATCACATTGGAACAAACTCACAAATAAGCATCATAGCAGGACTGAATCACATATTTTTATTGCTAAGGTGCACTGCCTGTACTATGTATAATAAGGAACTGAAAATATTATTTACTGTTCTTAGAAAATAACGTGTACAAAAATAACAATATATGAAAATATAACTGAATATTGAGAATTTTAAAGTGTAAAGTATCTTTCCTGTGTAACTAGAACACACGACGAGGCTGGGGTGGGGTGAAAACTGCCAACCGAGGTAGTTGCTGAAAAGAGTGACTTGGGTTAGGTACCACTGGGAGTGAAATCGTGGAGTGGACTAAGGATTCACTAAGCCCATGTTTATCCAACTTGAGTTCTTTTTTTTTTTATATTTATTTGTTTTTGAGAGACAGAGAGAAACAGAGTGTGAGCCAGGTAATGGCACTGAGAGACACAGAATCTGAAGCAGGCTCCAGCCTCTGAGCTGTCAGCACAGAGCCAGACACAGAGCTTGAACCTGCAAACTGCGAGATCATGACCTGAGCCTTGAGAGATCATGACTTTAAGTCAGATCCTTAAACAACTGAGCCACCCAGGCTCCCCTATCCAACTTGAGTTCTATAGTGATCCATTATAACCCTTAATTTGCTCTTTACTTTTCTATATTCAAATTTATTTTTATGATATCTTTGAAATTACTCTTGAATTCTCTGTGTTGAGATTCTTGTGTTAGATTTTATTGCTGCTCTAGCCAATTACCATAGACTTTGGTTGTTTAAAACAACACAACTTGTCCTACAGTTACATAGCTCAGAAATCTCACATGGGTCTCAAGGTGTCGCCAGGTTTGCATTACTTTCTGGAAGCTGTAGTGGAGAATCTGTTTTTTTGCCTTTTCCAACTTCTAAAAACCACCAACAATGCTTGGCTCATGACCCCCTTCCATCTTCAAAGCTAGTAATGGCTGGTTAAGTCTTTCTCACATTTCATCACTCTGACAGCCTTCTGCCTCTTCTTCCATATTTAAGGATCCTTATGATTATTCTGGATCCACCTGGATAAACCTGGCTACCATCCCTATTTAAAGCCAGCTGATGAGCAACCTTAATTCCAACTGCTAGCCTAATCCTCCTTTGTATTTAACTTAACATACTCACAAGTTCTGGGGTAAGGATGTGGAGGCCACTATTGTTCCTATCACAGTTCTTCTCTGTAATTAAAATTGCTGCTTCTATGTGAACTCTAACCCACCTGCTGACATACGCCTTGCATCAAACACTCTGTTCTGCATCACTTTTAGCTTCCCTTTATGCTCCCATTGTCTTTTAAAAAAAAAGCATTTTTCACCTTACTTAGGACCTTACATCCAATCTTACTTCTTAAACATCTCCCTATCATTGTTTCTCTCTCTCTCCTGAGTCTTCACCTTCTCCCATTTCAAAGCTTATTAGCATTGAAACGTGCTCAAGTCTCTCTCATGTTCCCTATTTACAAAAGGCCCTCCTCCAGCACTTGTCTCCATTATAGTTGGGTATCTGGAAAGCATCTCCACTTAGCTCCAGTCAGTGCTTAACCCCCTGCCTTTTGGACTTCCTGTATGGTCTCCGTAACCAGTACAAACCCCCACCTGGGTTATGTGTTCACCAAATAGTTGTTAAATGAATAACTGAGTTTCTGCTCAATTACCCAAGTTTATCAGGTCTCTGGTGATATTCTCAATATAAGAACTGTTCTTTGGGATTTGATTTTGTACCTCAATTAACTTACATTTGTAATTGAGGATGCCTATCATGTATCACAAAGCAAAATATACATTTTTTAAAAGCAAATGTTTTATTCTATTTGGGACATATATATCCCTGCTTCATTACTACCCTCTGTTTTCTTTTATATTTGTTTAGTTTTTCATGTTTTTGTAATGCTTTTGCATATCATATTTCCTTTAGATTTTCATCAATACTTTTGTGAAATAGGTAGGCTAGGGAGGTACTCCTGTTTTGGAGATTAAGTTCTTGAGGCCCAGAGCAACTGAGATATTTTTCTAAGGTGTACACAAAGTTAATGATACTTCTGGGACTAGCACGGAGGATTACTGGCTCTTTTGTTGTCACGTGCTGATCACAGTTAACAGATTAAGAGCAAAGCAGAATACAGAGAATTGTCAAGGGGAGTAGTAATCTAGATATGAAATTATGCTTGGCTTGTTTTTAAACTTATGCTCCTTGGACTATGATATCTTTTGGTACAATCTCACCTGAATTCTGATAGGATTAGGCAGTAGAGGCGAAGTAATAAATTATGTGCTGGCTGAGATGAGAATCTAGGAGGTTGTTTGCTGCTGGTATTCAGCCAAAGGTCTCAGCTGACCAACTTCAATTTTGTGGTTTGGCCTAGAAATGAGGTAGCATTTCTGTCTCCAAACTCAATACAACTCTGTGTTGTAGCTCTGTTGTGACATTTTAGGGGATCCCTGCAGGAGGCATACCTAATGAGAACATGTTGAAAGGATTCTTGTTGTTAAGTGTTTTTTGCTGTTTTTTAAAAGGAGAGTGGGAAAATGAGGGATTAAGTGTTGGAATGATTTGAATTACTGAGAGTTACCTACTTACCATCATTAAAATAATGTTAATTTGAATTCAGTAAGTGAAATCTAGTTCTACTGAAGTAAACAAACGTCTCCATTGTGAATGCTTCCTTAGAGAATTAACTTAAATTTAATTAATAACTTGTTTGCTTATTTTTTTTTGGTTGCAGTATTTCTATTTTTAAATTAAAAAAAATTTTAAATTGAAGTACAGATGACATACAATTTTATATATTAGTTTCAGGTGTACAACAGTCATTCAACAATTATATAATTATAAAGTGATTACTGCCATAAGTGTAGTTACCATCTGTCACCATACAAAGTTATTATTATATTATTGACTATATTTCCTATGCTTCATCCTTATCCCTCTGACTTATTTATCAGATGTAATTTTGGTCTAGGGGACAATTTGACTAAAACCATGTGAGGTCTGGCTTCTTTGCCACATCATCCCAACTTACAGTCCTAGTTACTGTGTTGTGCTTTGGCCCCTCTGTCTTACTTTGACCTCTTTGTTCTCATACCTGGCTCCTCTCCATAGCTCTCCAACTTTGACTGGGTTTCGTTTCCTCTTTCTGGGACCTTACACACTGTAACTTTTCAGTCATTAAGTTTATGTAGGCTGTTGTCATTACAACCAAGTGAAACCATGTTGTTTGCCCTTCTAGTCAATATGGCTCTTGTAGAGGCCATGTTGTGAGGAATTAAGGTGAATGAGAGTGAGGTTTCTTAATCAAATAGACCTGTTTTACATGATAGCTTCTCCATGTCTAGCAGTTTTTAACTTCTTCTAATAACTAGTTTTCTCACATGTATAAATGGGGATATTAGTATCTTCCTGTTAAGATTATTGCCACAATTAAGTGAATTAACCACAATAAAACACTTAACACAATGCTTGATTTATGATAAATTTAGTTGTACTCATTCTTTTTTTAAATTTTTGTTTTATTTTAGGCGGAGAGAGAGAGAGAGAGAGAGTGCATATGTGCATGAGTGGGGGAGAGGGGCTAAGGGAGAGTGCATGCTCATGCTTGGTGCAGAGCCCAACACAGGGCTCAATTCAATGGCCCTGGGGTCATGGCCTGAGCTGAAATCAAGAGTTGCATGCTCAACCAACTGAGCTACCCAGGTGCTCCTAGTTGTACTCATTCCTGCCGTTGTTATTATTGAAAAGGGAACTAGATACAGTTAGGAATTTTAGGTATGGCCTTGGGCCATATCAAGTCATTGTATCACCCAGAAAAAATTGCTTTATTCTTTTGGATTTCATTTTTTCATTTATACAATGAAGGTATTGGCAAGTGGTTCTGCCTGTGGACAACTGATAGTCCCTATTCAGGCCTGATTATGTTAATGTCTGTCTGAAATGCATTTGAAATCTTATTTGCTTTTAGCTCTATTCCCTGCACCCTGCGAAGCCTCTTGATGCTTTCCCATCACCCAGGCCCTTTCTCCACTCATCACTCATAATAATGACTTATCCAGATGTCATATTCCTTTGGTTTTTCTAGATGACAGCTCACTGAGAAGCAATTTCCTGCAAATGCACTATAAAGTAACAAAAGTAATAGGTTTAGTGTAATTGTTTAATATTTTATTCTTTCTAGATAGTATTTTTAAAAAGCAGAAGAATCTTTATGACACTTAAAAAAATTTAGTTTCTCAAATTTTCTTTCTTTTTTTAAAAAAGATTTTTTATTTTCTAAGTAATCTCTACACACATCATGGGGCTCAAACTCACAATCCAAAGCTCAAGAGTCACACACTCCACCAACTCAGCCAGCCAAGTGCCCCAGTTTCTTAAATTTTCTACCAAACCCTGGGAGTTTAGGGAGCATTGCACTAGTTGACTCCCCAACTCCAGTTCCAGTCATGAAATGTCTTTGAATGATCATACTTAATAACTTAATATTAGTTTTAACTTTATAGTCAACTCCACAATATAGCCATGGTTGTTTTAATATTAAAATGTTTTAAATTTTAAACTTTAGTTAAACTTTTTAAACTTTATTTTAAATTTTAATTTTAAACTTTGCTTAATTTTAGTTAATTTTAAGTTTTATTTCATGTTAGTTAATTTAAATTACCACATAAATCCAGTGACTACCGTGACAATGCCATTCTAGAGGATTAAGAGATTAGAGACAGAGATAAAGGAGTAGATAAATAAATCAAATAATTTCACATATTGACAACTGAAAAGAAATCAAACAGGGTGATAAAATAGTAAGTAGGGAAGCACTTTATATAGGATGATCCTACTTGAGTAGAAATCAATACATGTAAAATAAATTGTGAAAACTATTATTTTTTAAACCTTGTTAAATCAGTACTTGGGTTTGGGAACACTTCTTTGGAGATCTAGTGAATTCCCTTTTGGGAAATAAACCCCAAAATATATCCGCATATTTCTATCATTTTATTAATGTTAAACATTTTTTTTTAACTTAGCCCTGAATTATCATCTCCACTTCCTGTTGGTGATACCCCAACATCAGGAGGTATGTTCTTGTGTGTTTATTCACTTTTTTTTTTAAATTATTTGTGGCTTAAGATGATCTTGTAAGCAAGCACACATTTAAAAAATATCACCTCACATTAAAAAATATCAGGCTTCTCTCTCCTTATATGTTGTTCAAGAGTCTCAAGAAAGAGTTCAAGAAAAAGTAATTGTGTTTTCATTTATTTTAAGGCATTATGTTGTGGGAACTTAAAGATCTTTAATTATTAAGTATAATTCAAATCAGAAAACTACTTAAAACAAATGTATGACTTAATGAATTACATTAAGGCAAACACTCTATAACCACTGCTTCTGTCAATAGGTAGAACCTTTCTAGCTCCACTAGTTGTCATTTGTCTTGTATGAGTTTCTCAGAGTAAGGATTTTTCCGATTGCATTCTGTGGTGTACTTTAACATGTTTCCTTGATTTTTGTATTTCCTATGAATTGGTAGTTGCTTTCTTTATTTTTAATTTTTTAAAAAAAGCTTTTCTTTATTTCAAATTTCAAACATATACAAAAAAATAGAATAGCACAATGAGGCCCAGCTTCAACAATGATCAATTCCTAGCCAGTCTCCAACCTTCACCCACTTTCCCTGTCTGGTAAAAGTATATTTTTTACTATCTGTCCCTTTACTAAGTAGCTCCTTAAGGATAAAAATTTTGTCTGTATCTTAACAAATCTTGCATAGTGGCTGACCTATAGTAGGTGCTCATTAAATGCTTGTTGCATGAATGAATGAGTTGTAATTATTTTCTGTTCCAGAAAGACTCTACGCAAATGTGTCTTAAGGTTAGAATGTACCGAATTTCCAGGATGAAAAACCAAATGACTTACAAGAATGGTCCTGAAGTCAGGTCATTATTTCTTGATATGATTCTGACTTAGGGACTAAATTCACGTACATGTTTTTGTTTTTCTACTTAGGTGCTGTTCTCAGTGTTCCATACCCAGGGGTGACCTCCTATGAAGGTACCTCAGAAAGCAGCAAGGAGAGGACTGGAGAGAGTGTGAGTGATACTGTGTTTTGTTATTTAGTTTTTAACATGGAGAACAAGGGTTAAGAGAGACTTCTGTTCCACTGACAAACTTCACAAAACTTCATGTGGTTTCCTTTATGGAATTGTAGATTCTAAAACCAGTATATTAAAAAGAATCTTGAATACTGAGAATAAACTGAGGGCTGATAGGGTTGGGGGAGAGGGAAGGGGTATGATGGACATGGAGGAAGGCACTTGTTGGAATGAGCACTGGGTGTTATATGGAAACCAACTTGACAATAAACTATGAAAGAAAAAAAAAAGAATCAAAGATTCCTTGGAGAGTTGAGTCAATCTGCTTTTGCAAGAGAGAGCTTCCAGTTGTAAATGAAATGACTTGTGCATGGGGAATTGTCGTCATCGCAAACTCATTGTCTCTTGTGGGCTTTGTAACATAATTTACTGTCATTTGCCTGTGTTCTTCTATCACATAGTAGATCAGGACTTAGCCTTCTCTTCTTCAGAGGAAAAGGATGTAGGTTTTATGTAGTTGAAAAATCAAGAAATACCTTGCTTTTTAAATGCATCATTATTAACAGTAACCTGTCCATGAAACAATATTAAGTTTCCTTTCTATAACATTCAGTTTTAAAAAGAAAGTACACAGGCTACCCCGGAAGATAGAAATATTTTGTTAGAAATTTTGTCAAATATGAATTTTTAAAATTTAGGGGTTCGTAAATCTTAGATTACTTAATACAGTGCAAACTCTGATTGAACATATTCACTAGAAAGATGCAGTTTAGTTGCCTTGAACATTTTCTTCCCAACTTCATCATTTAGCTTCTGTGAAATCAGGTTAAGTCACTCCACTCTGCCTCCCTACCTTCCCTCTCACTGAACAAAGCTGGTAGTAGTACGGAATCCCTGAGTAGATTCCTGATTCAATACATTTACTCTCTGTACAACTTTGTCCAGACTAGATGGTGCTGGGAAATACTGTCATTCAATAAATATTTGTGAATGAATGAATAAAAAGTGATACCATGGTTCTGAACTTGAAGCACAATAGTTTAGGTCTGGGAACAATTTATAGAATGAGATAGAATTCCCTATAATAAAAATGAAGGAATTATATATAAGTGGAACATCGATATCTAAAAGAGAGGATAATTTCAAGCTAATTTATAGAATCAGTAAGAAAACAAAGCAGTATAAAGATACCTAACAAGAATTAGATCCCTGTACCTCTAGTTCAAAATGAAACCTAAAGTTATTTTCATTTTTCTCCTAATACATTTTCCATCTACTGTTTTAGAAATTATATACTTTGTTTTGTTAGTAGTTACCCTATTACATAATATGTAATGTATTATTATGTATATTTTTGAAACATAACATATATAAAATATATATTCTATAAATTACTCCATAAATTATAATGTATAATCTAGTAAATTTTAAATTTTGCAAAATCTTGATCCTTATCTTGAACAATGGAGAAAGACTAGAACATTGTTATTCAAATAATCCTTTACTGATTTATATTCTATTTTGAAATAGTTTTGTTATTTCTTTCTCTTTTAGTTCTCTTTTTAATCCCACGAATTAGACAGTATTATATTTGTTTTACATAAAATTTGTTTACATTTACCTGGATGTTTATTATTTTATTTTCATAAAATTCTTTTTGTGTATTAAAAATTTTTTAATTTTATTCATTTTTGAGAGAGAGAGAGAGAGAAAGAAAGTGAGAGAGCCCACAAGTGAGGGAGGGGCAGATTGAGGGGGAGACAGAAGATCCCAATCAGGATCCTAGCTGTCAGCACAAAGCCAGTTGTGAGGCTTGAATCTACAAACCATGAGATCATGACCTAAGCCAAAATCAAGAGTCAGATGCTCAACCAACTGAGGCACCCAGGTTCCCCTCTTTTTGTGCATTTGAGACCTTCCTTCTAGGATAATTATCTTTTTGAAATATATGCTTCTAATAATACCTTTGTCAGAATCTCTCATTGGTTCATTTTAAGATTTTGCTTGTCTGAAAATTTCTTTATTTCCTTATTCTAGAAATTTTTAAAAAATGTTTATTTATTTATTGAGAGAGAGAGGGTACATGCACACATGCACACATGGGGGAGGGGCAGAGAGAGAGAGAGAGAAGGAGAGAGAATCCCAAGCAGGCTCCATGCTGTCAGCACAGAGCCCCATGTGGGGCTCAATCTCAGGGACTCTGAGATCATGACCTTAGCTGAAATCAAGAGTTGGATGCTTAACAACTGAGCCATCCAGCCAGCTGCCCCTCGAAATAAATTTGAAATCTGTATTAAATTCTAGTTTGAGGGTTTTTTGTTTGTTTGTTTGTTTGGTTTGGTTTTTTTGGTCAAGGTCTTATTTCATTATATTCTAATTTTTATTGTTACTACTGAGAACTCAACTATCAATTTAGCTGTTCTTCACTTTAGTTGTATTCCCTCTGATTGTTTCCTTTGTCTACTTTTAAGATATATGTCTGTCTCTTCTCTGTATATCTCTGTTTATGTACATCTAATAATAAGTAACAGCTGAAAATTTCTCAGAATTTATGATAGACCTAAGGCAAGCAAAATAAATAAACATGCTCCTATATTCATTTTTGTGAATCTGCAGAATCCCAAATACTATATATAATACACACTACCTACATATATAGAGTACTTACATATACTTTTACATATAAGTATAAAAGTATACATATTTTAAGTCTGTTATGTATATATAGTAGTATATTATATGGTATTTGGCATTCTACAATTTCACAAATATGGGTATAGGAGAAATTCTCTGCTATTATCTCATATGTTTGAACCTCTGACCTCCTCATTTTATCTCTCATGTTTGTTTGTTTTTAAAGTGTATTTATTTATTTTGAGAGAGAGAGGGTGGGAGAGGGGCAGAGAGAGAAGGAGAGAGAGAGAATCCCAAGCAGGCTTTGCACTGTTAGCACAGAGCCTAACGTGGGGCTCGGGTCCACAAACTGTGAGATCATGACCTGAGCCAAAATCAAGAGTTGGACGGTTAACTGAGCCACCCAGGTGCCCCTATGCCTCATGTTTGTTAACCACTCCTTAATAATTTTCTTTCTTTGTCTCTCTGTATTGGATCAGATATGTCATCCAGTTTACTAATTCTTCCTCCAGCCTAGTTTAATTCGTTGTTCAAATTGTCCATTGAGTTTTTAGAATCCTTGCTTTAAATGGGAGTCTTTTTAAAATATTTATTTTATTAAAATTTTAAAAACCGTTTATTTGTTTTTGAGCGAGAGAGCATAAACAGGGGAGGGGCAGAGAGAGACAGGGACAAAGGATTTGAAGCTGACAGGAGAAAGCTCGATGCACAGCTCCATTTCACAAACCGTGATATCATGACCTGAGCTAAAGTCAGACACTTAACAGACTGAGCTGCTCAGGTGCCCAGGTGCCCTGAGTCCTTTTTTTTCAAATTGAAGTATAGTTGACACACAATATTACATTAGTTTTAGGTGCATGACATAGTAATTTGATAAGTTTGCACTTATTCTATGCTTACCAGAAGTGTAGCTGTAAGCTACATTATGTGGGAGTCTTTGATCTGACCTTTCAAAATGTACAGTCCTTTTACCTTTTATCCTATCCTTTTGTGGTATTTAAAACTAAATTCTGGGTTACAAAGGATCAGCAGATATACCATGTACTCACACAACACTGATTCAACTCTCTTTTCTAACCTGTTTTTCTTGAGCTGTTGAGATTTCCTTTACTTTCTTGCAAACTACTTTTGCATTAAACATTAAAAAATATTTTTTTCAGCACTTCAGGCATTCTGTAGCAGCAAGATTTCTAAGGATATTTCTTTTGTAATAATACTGGAAATGGAAGTTTCTGTCCAATTTTAGCAAGATAAAGTTTAATACAGAAAAATGTAAAATTTTGTGTAAAATTACATAAGAATAAAAGTTCTTATTGATGTTAGTTTCTATATGAATAAGCAGAATGATGCAGTTTCTAGGGGGGAACTAGTAAAAACTAGTGTAATGGTAGGTTGCGTTAATAAAAATATAGAATCTCTTATAAGATAGGTGGTATCCGGTCATATTTTAATTGATCAGATCTCACTTGTGTATACCACACTCTAAGGAAGAGCCTGAGAAATGCCTGGAGGAGCAAAGCTGAAGAAGTCAGGGAAGTCATGATTCCTGCCTGTACTTATTTGAAGGGCTGTCTGGTGACTACAGTTTTTATATATGTCCCAGATTACAGAACTGAGATCAGTGGTGGAGCTTATAGGAAAATATATTCAGGCTTAATATTAAGAATTTTGAATGGAAGTGGGTGAAATGGGTGACAAGGGTCAAAACGTACAAATTTCTAGTTATAAAATGTATAGGTCATTATGATGTAGGGTACATCATAGTAACTATAGTTAATAATACTGTAGTGCTTATTTGAAAGTAGTTAGGAGAGTGGATCTTGAAAGTACTCATCACAAAAAAATTTTCTAACTGTGTATGGTGATGGATGTTAACTGGACTTACTGTGATGATCATTTTGCAAACATATAAATATTGAATCATTACATTGTGTACCTGAAAGTAATATATGTTTATTATGTATCAGTTATACCTTAAGAAAGATGCCAAAAAATATATAAGTGCCTGATATGTGCCACTTACTGTTTTAGGAGGCGTACTGATAAGCAAACATGCACTATAAGCCCTGTGTGATATGCACTGTGATAGGGCAAATGCAGATTGAAATAGAGCATTAGGAGCACTGGGTCAGTTTTGACGGGGCAGTTCTGAGAAATTTTCTGGTGGGGGTGAGCTGAACTAATGGTGAATAGTACTTACCAGAAGAAGAGAAAGGTCTGAACGGTCTTAGCCTGAGGTCTCAAAGCAAAGGGAGTAACACTGCTTAGGTCTGAGAAGAGAAAATTAGCCCATTCCTTGGTCTGTAAATAGGAATTTAACATGGCTAGAGTAGATAGTGAAAGTAGGAGGGGAGGAAGATGAGGCTGGAAAAGGGAAGCAGCAACCAAGTTGTAAAGGGCAAAGAAGAAAGAAAAAAAAAATTAAAGAACTTTCCAACCATGAGAGCTTTTTAATTTGAAATGTAATGGTCTATCTTTGAAAATCGTGACTCTTTCTCATCAGAGACATTTTTTTCTTTCATAGTTTATTGTCAAGTTGGTTTCCATATAACACCCAGTGCTCATCCCAACAATTGCCCTCCTCCATGCCCATCATCCCCTTTCCTCTCCCCCACCCCCATCAGCCCACAGTTTCTTCTCCACATTCAAGAGTCTCATCAGAGACGTTTAAACTGAGTATGAGCAGCCATTTGTCAGGGATATTGTAGAGAGAATTCAAGCATCACAAAGGATGGTAGGATCATTGAGATTCTTTCCTGTTCTGAGGTGTTTTTTTTTTTAATTTTTTTTTAATGTTTTTTTTTACAAATAGTTTATTGTCAAATTAGTTTCCACATAACACTCAGTGCTCATCCCCACAAGTGTCCTCCTCCATGCCCATCCCCCCCCCCCCCCCCCCCCCTCAGTCCTCAGTTTTTGTCAGCATTCAAGAGTCTCTCATGGTTTGCCTCTCTCCCTTTCCCCCACCATTTCCGCCCTTCTTCTCCCCCTTGTTCCTCCGTCAAGTTCCTCCTAATCCTCCTATACGTGCAAACATATGATATTTGTCCTTCTCTGCCTGACTTATTTCGCTCAGCATAACACCCTCAAGGTCCATCCATGTTGCTACACATGGCCAGATTTCATTGTTTCTCCTTGCCATGTAGTATTCCATGGTATAGATAAACCACATCTTCTTGATCCATTCATCTGTTGATGGACACTTAGGCTCTTTCCATGTTTTAGCTATTGTGGAGAGTGCTGCTATGAACATTGGGGTACACATGCTCCTATGCCTCAGCATTTCTGGATCCCTTGGGTAAATTCCTAGCAGTGCTATTGCTGGGTCATAGGGGAGTTCTATTGTTACTTTCCTGAGGACCCTCCACACTGTTTTCCAGAGGGGCTGTACCAGTTTACATTCCCACCAACAGTGCAGGAGGGTGCCCGTTTCTCCACATCCTCGCCAGCATCTAGAGTTCTCTGATTTGCTCATTTTAGCCACTCTGACTGGCGTGAGGTGGTATCTCAGTGTGGTTTTGATTTGTATTTCCCTGATGAGGAGGGATGCTGAGCATCGTTTCATGTGTCTGTTGGCCATCTGGATGTCCTCTTTGGAGAAGTGTCTGTTCATGTCTTCTGCCCATTTCTTCACTGGGTTGTTTGTTTTTCGGGCGTGTAGTTTGGTGAGTTCCTTATAGATTCTGGATATTAACCCTTTATCTGATATGTCATTTGCAACTATCTTTTCCCATTCCGTTGGTTGCCTATTAATTTTCTGGGTTGTTTCCTTGGCTGTGCAGAAGCTCCTGTTCTGAGGTTTTGAAGGTCTGATGATATGATCTATCAATGATGAAAAATGATAGACTGAAGCAAAGCCTCTGGAGTGTCTTCCTGACTCTGCCATTGAGTTGCTGTGAGCCCTTTGGCTAGGCATTCTTCCATTCCAACCCCTCTTCTTGTGTATCAAAATGGAGGGACTTGGATGAGCTCAAGTAGATCTGCCATGTAGCAGTTATTACTATACCATTCTAGTAATGATATTTTCCCCCTCATTCTTTCTACATTTGTTAATTGGAATTCTTCTGTAAGACACTGTTGTCAACTTTCATTTATTTATTAAATTATCTGTTTCTATCCATATGGACTCATGGGTATTTATTTTATTCTTTGGATTATAATCCGTTATTTTTTTATTGTTCATATTATTACAGCGTTGGCCACTGGAAGAGCTGGATTTTACTGTTACAGAATAGAAAAGGTTTATTGATACTGTTTCAGATTCCACATAGCAACTAATCTTTAAGTAATTACTACTTGTTGAGTTTGGTGTAGAATCTAAAAAGAACCTCTATAATTTTGAAAAGGCTATTAATATATTCCCCCCTTCCTAGGGCTCCTGAATGTCTCATTTGGTTAAGCATCTGACTCTTGATTTCAGCTCAGGTAATAATCTCAGCATTGATGAGATCGAGCCCCACGTCAGGCTCTGTGCTGACAGTGGCTCCTGATTGGGATTATCTTTCTCTCTCTGCCCTTCCCCACTTGCGTATGCACTCTCTCTTGCATGCCTATGTGAGCTCTTTCTCTCACAAAATAAATAAATAAATAAACATTCAAAATCTATTTATCTCTATATTTCTCCCTTTCTTAATACTTTTCTTCATGTACTTCAACTAAAACAACATAGTGCTACTGATTGAATGTAGAAGTAGATATGAGAATCTACTGTCTTCTTATTAAGCCAACCAAATTAAAGAATATGTAAAAATATAAACAATGTAAGGTGTTCATTTTTTATTTTGCAAAATATGTTATTACTTTTTAAAATGTAAGGAGTTTATTATTTTTAAATGAATTAACAAATATTTAAAAATTATTTCTTTTAATTTTTTGTTTGGTAAATATCTATAGATATAGTCCAAAAAACCTAACTTCTTTGTGTTTCTTAATGATTTTTAAGAGTTTCAAAGGACCCTAAGACCAAAAAAATTTGAGAACAAGTCTTCTAGGCTATTTTTAGATGATAATACTAGTATAGTCAACTCTTTAACTCACAGATGGTCAACTTTGGTGGTTATCTGTGAAAATTTTTCTGTCTTTCCCTAAAGCAGTCATTGTGTGTTCAAAGGAATGTGGAAATGCGCAGTAATTTTAATATTAACCTATGTCTTAAAGTCTACCCAATTAGTTCCAAAGTCAAATACTGTATAAAAGGCCATCATTAGCAGTTTCTTTTGGCACAGTGTCTGATATATACCAATCAGTAGATATTTGTTGATTACATAAGTAAACATTGACATTTCTTGGATTTTTCTCTAAAAATCCAGATTAGCAATGAAATTGAGACTGTCATTGAAGAAACCACAAAACCAGCAACTGAGCAGATTGCAGAATTCAGTATCCACCTTTTGGGAGAGCAATACAGGGAAGAACTACAGGATCCCTCCAACATCTACCACCAGCACCTTGTAGAAGAGTTTATTTCTGAGGTGGGTGATTTTTTGGTTTCCTTCCTTTCTTCCCTCCTTCCCTCCCTCCCTCCCTCCCTTTCTCCCTCCCTCCCTTCCTTCCTTCCTTCCTTCCTTACGTGACATTTTGCTGGGGTTGTAAATTTCCCATATTCACTAGACTGGTTAAAGGTAGGTGAAGGAATCAAGCTCTTCTGCTTGGTTCAGAGGACTGTAACTTAGCCACTCCTTCAGAAAATTCTGTAAAAAGATCACAGAAAGATAGATGAATTATTAAATTGAAGCAAAATCTCTCACACCTTTGCCATCTGCTAACAAATAAATACTATTTCCAAATTTTTCCTTTTCAGTGGCCTGGTTTTAACTAGACATAGTTGGAGAAATGAGTACCTTTGAGAAACTACATACATTGTATTGTTTTTCTTGAAGGAACATTAAATTTAATTTCTTTTTTTTTTTAATGTTTTTTTATTTATTTCTAGGAGAGAGAGAGAGAGACAGCGTGAGCAGGGGAGGGTCAGAGAGAGAGGGAGTCACAGACTCTGAAACAGGCTCCAGGCTCTGAGCTGGCAGTCAGCACAGAGCCCGATGCGGGGCTCGAACCCACGAACCGCGAGATCATGACCTAAGCGAAAGTCGGACGCTTAACCGACTAAGCCACCCAGGCGCCCCAAATTTAATTTCTTTAAATGTCATCTTTAATATTCTTTTTCTAAATTAAAAAAATGTGGGGCAGTTAACACATGGGTAGTATACAATGCCAAGTCCAAAAGGACAAAAGAGTATCCAGTGAAAAGTAAATTTCCTTATCTCTGTTTCTTGGTTGGAGGTATTTTTACTTATTTTTTATTTTTTTTTAAGGTTTATTTATTTTCGAGAGAGACAGCATGAGTGGGGGAGGGGCAGAGAGAGAGAGGGGTACCAAATATCCCAAGTGGGCTCCCTCCTGATAGCAGAGAGACTGATGTGGGACTTGAACCCATGAACTGTGAGATTATGACCTGAGCTGAAGTTAGACACTTAACCAACTGAGTCACCCAGGTGCCCCGATTGGAGATATTTTTTAAAAGGTCTTTTTTGTCTTTTTTTTTTTAAGTTTTCTTTAAATGTTTACTTATTTTTGAGAGAGACACAGACAGAGTGTGAGTGGGGGAGGGGCAGACAGAGAGGGAAGCAGAATCTGAAGCAGGCTCCAGGCTCTCAGCTGTCAGCGCAGAGCCTGAGGCAGGGCTCGAACTCACGAACCACACGATCGTGACCTGAGTGGAAGTCAGATGCTTAACTGACTGAGCCACCCAGGCGCCCCAAAAAGGTCTTTCTTTAAAGAATCATGCATTAGACTATCCTGCAACTTTACTTTCTGGCAGAACTCTATATAGGACTTGAACTCAAGATTCTTTCAGTTAAAAATTATCCATACTTGGCCCCCTTCTTGTGTACATTTTCTCTTGTGTGGTGAGGCATTGAGTGCCCATCTCCCCTCTCTGTCCATTGACAGAGCACATAATTCCTTCCTGTTTATTTCTTTTCCATTCTCTCTTGATGGGGTTCTCCTTGCCCAGGTTTTTCAATTCCATTACCTTGGACTTGTTTCCTTCCCTAGACACAGTGTCTGGATGAGAAAAAGAAATATGTATCTCTCAGCCAAACAGCATCATTGTAGCCATCAGACATGGGGAGTGGAAGCCAGACGATTAATTTTCCTAGCTGTGTGGCCAAGTTGCAAGGCTGTATGGTATGTGGAAGAAATGTCAGCCAGGCCAGTGGCCACCTGGCATCAGATAGTGTCTTGGATCAGCTGTCTGGTTCTCTCTGCTCTTGGAGTAAGGAACCTTAATAAGCCTGAGTGTTTAGATAAACAATTGCACTGAATGACTGCATATTTAGAGGAAGTCTAATAAACATTTTGAAAAACATCTCCCGCAGAGACTTTATGAGGTACATAGCTCTTGGCTTGAGGTGATTTGGGGGTGATGAATGGTCTAGGCCTACCATGAAATGGTTTCTTCTCTGGCCAATCTCTATAGCCTCATACCCTTAAACCTGTAATGAAATGCCTACCAACAGCCACTTCTTTGTATAAAACAGCAGAGTCAGAGGTTGTGTCTCTGAAAGGCTCTTCCACTGTGTGTGCTGCAAATTGGAGGGGGCCCCTCTAGCTTTCTACCTTTAGGGCACAGTCACAGGGATCACTCCTTTAATACTATTTCCTAGGTAATAATGTGGTAAGACATACAGGGAAAAAGAAAGCCTGCTTAAAGAGGATTGAGGTTCAGGAGCTATTGCTTTTTTTTTTTTTTTTTTTATGAGAAGAGTAAGATAAGCATAGGATAACATCAAGTATGATATCAGAGAGAAAAAGGTCAGCACGATAGGCTTGGGAGCATTGGTACCTGAAGATAGCCACAGTACCAACACAGTGTCCTTGCATCGTGCCTTATGTTCTGCAGGCTGCTTGGTCTGTTGGCTCGCAGCAACCATGGGAGTAAACATCTCCATTTCACACATGAGGCTCAGTAGGCTGAGTAAATTGTTCATTTCACCCTCTAGGAGTAGAAGGGAAAATCAAATCTCCTTCTTCCCTTCAAAGTGTTCTTTCCTTTATACCATATAGATTCCCTTAATTTTAATTCAAGTGAGGAGTTAAGGTGAGCTTTCCAGGTTTCCCAGTTCTGGTCCCGATTCTATAACATTCTTACCGTGAAGCAAGGGGAAGAAGAAGAGGCATGAAATTCATTGGGAAGAATATGGGCTTTGGTGTTAGAAAGATTTGGGGTTGAATAAATTCTGATATATTCAAATGCATGACCCTGGGTAAGGTGGTTGACATCTCATTTTTCTCCTCTATAAAATGGGGAAAATATGTATCTCTTGGCATTATTGCAAGGATTAGAAGCACCGTGCACATAGAAGTCATTCAATAAACTGTACCCATTATTAATCCTGATGTTAATAAAGTGGGATGATTCTTTCACCTGGACACCTATATGATAGCTAATTAGATGTGATGAATTAGAATACTTGTGTGTGGTTAGACTCGAGATGGCAAAATCCCCAGTGAGATGGGTCTAGTGATAATAATAATAACATACAGTTGTATTGCATTTTGCAGTTAATGGAGCACTTTCAGGTACATTCATGTTAATCTTATGAAAACCGACATGGTTGATGGGCAGGGCACTATTAGTTCTATAAAATAAGGCACTTACATTGCCAGCAGAAACAATTGACACTAACTCATTTTTGAATTCCTATCCTGTGGATTCCATCTCCACTTTAATTCCACGAGAATTATGGTACTTCTGTCTTTCCTCTAAGGGAATAAAACAAGACAAATTATTATAGCCAAAGAGTTACATGGGTTTGGATTCTTTATCCTTAAGGCGTTAAGGTCATCAGCAAACCATGATTTTTTAAAAATCCCACTCTCCCAATTTTATCAAGATTTGGCTTTAAAAGCAAATGCCCAGAGATGTCTCCAAAGTCCATTAATAACTTCCTTCCCTTGTTCTGGTGTTGGCTCCATTGTGACTTATCTGGTGAGATGGTCACCTTCTGAAATCTGGGTTAAATGTTCAATTTGTTAAAATTCGTATTCATGCATGACCTGACTATTTTTAGGTTTTTAGTTCAGTTAGCATTCTTTCCCACCCTCTATTCACTAAACTTATATTGATTTACATGGCTGGATTTTAAAGATCTCCTTAGTTCCTGTAGACATAATGCTCTTAAGCTGATCTTTTGACCAGTTAAGTTACCTGGTCACTGCTTTGCAATCTCCATGACAGTCAACAGGGTTTCTCTCTCTTCTGGGGACTGAGCTTCAGCTCATGGACAATTTTCTTTCTTTCTTTCTTTCTTTCTTTCTTTCTTTCTTTCTTTCTTTTCTTTTCTTTTCTTTTCTTTTCTTTTCTTTTCTTTTCTTTTCTTTTCTTTCTTTCTTTCTTTCTTTCTTTCTTTCTTTCTTTCTTTCTTTCTTTCTTTCTTCTTTCTTTCTTTTCTTTCTTTCTTTTTTACAAAAAGTTTATCGTCGAGTTGGTTTCCATATAACACCCAGTGCTCATCCCCACAAGTGCCCTCCTCCATGTCCATCACCCCCCACCCCACACCCATCAGTGAACAATTTTCTAATGTTGATTGTGTTCACAGTTCCCTCATGTTGTAGGAACAGGAAACAGATGCCATCAGAAACTTGACACTGAAAGAAAATGAACACTTTACTGTTTATGAGTGTGTATGCTGCACCAGATTTCTAATCCAAACAATTACATTTAAAAATGCTATTCTGGGGGTGCCCGGGTGGCTAAGTCAGTTAAGTGTCTGATTTTGGCACAGGTCATGATCTCACAGTTCGTGGGTTCAAGCCCAGAGTCGGGCTCTGTGCTGATAGCTCAGAGCCTGGATCCTGCTTCGGATTCTGTGTATCCCTCTCTCTCCCTCTTTGCCCCTCTGCCACTCATACTCAGTCTCTTTCTCTCAAAAATAAATAAACATTAAAATACTTTTAAGAAATGCTATTCTAGCTTTTTTTTGGAAACTAATGCTTTTATCTACATTTAATCCCACAAGGGTAAAAATAATGTTTTATCAACAAGAAGTTGCTTTTCATAATTTGGAAAGAAATCAATATTAAAGCACATCAAAACTTTAATGTAAAAGAAAAATGTGGCAGTGTTAAGAACTATTTTCTAACATTGTTAACTATTTTAGTTTTCTTATGTAACTTTCTGTCCACTGTGTATCTGTATACATGTACAAGCTCCTACTAGTTATAAACAGTGCACTTTATATTCAACTCTTAAAGCAGTATTTTATATGTACAATTTCACATTTCTACATAGCTATAAATTTTATTTTTATTTTTAATAGGTTGAAAGTGCATTTACTGGGTTACCAGGCTATAAGGACATCCATGTACTTGACTTTAGGTAAGTTGACTCTAAAATTGTACTTGTTCAGTAGCACTCTTTATTTCAATGTAATATCTCTTTATAGCTCTTACGCTTAACTCCCATGCTAGCATTCTTAGGGCTTGGGGCATTTGGAGTATAGCTGTGGCCCAGCTGTTGGATGTAGGGGAACATGAATAGAGATACTGTATAACATCACAGCAAAATTAATAGTGCCAACATCTTAACCTTGGCATACTCTCTTGTCACAACTTCTGGGTTTACCAGTAATAACAGCAAGTGCTTACATGGCATTTACAGTGTGCCAGGATTCATATCTATGTTAACCTCATTTATTCCCAACAGCCCTGCTTTGAGATAGTTATTATTATCCTCCTTCATTTTTTTCTAATAAGGACTCCAGAGAACAGGGAATTTCAGTAATTTACCCAAAGACACTCAGGTGGTTGTCTGTACAAGGGAGAGGCCATGATCAGTCTCCCCAGTTCAACCTTCACACTTTTCACAGAATACTGCCTCTAGTTGTGACCAAAGCCCCTATGAGAACCTAAGAATATGAGGCCTTTGAAGACCCCTCTCTCATGTGATCTCAAAGGCAACATGACCTTGCAGCCAACTTCGCTGGGTTCAAACCTTAATTTGCACTCCTGGTCAGATGATTTTAGATAAATTACCAAGTTTCAATGTCTCATTTGTATAAAAAAGATAATTTACTATTAATTCTGCTGTATTAGAAATACTCTGAGTAAATTATATAACTTCTTTGTTCCTCAGTTTCTTTACCTGTAAAATGGAGATTCTAATGGCTGTTAATAATCTTAATGAGGATTAAATGAATTAATTTCTGTAAAACAATTAGCACAGTTTTCTGCCATATGGGAAGTTCTATTAAGTGTCTGTTATATAAAATTAATAAATATTAAAGGCTGTGCAATATCCTGTAGGTTAGTCAGACCTGATCTTTCCCAATCCCTTAGCACTTTTCTGTATAACATCTGATTTTTTTCTCATTGATTTTAAACTACATAACTCATTATGTTTCCTAATTTTGTTAATGCCAGCAACCGCAGTCCTCTGCTGATCTACTAAAAAATACTTATTTAGAAAGAGAAAGACTTATGAGTGGTTTAAAAAGTATTTTTTTAAAGTAGTTTATTGTCAAGTTGGTTTCCATATAACACCCAGTGCTCATCCCCACAAGTGCCCTCCTCCATGCCCATCACCACCTTTTCCCTCTCCCCCACACCCATCTACCCTCAGTTTGTTCTCAGTATTCACGAGTCTCTCATGGTTTGCCTCTCTTCCTCTCCCCAACTATTTTTCCCCTTCTTCTCCCCCATGGTCCTCCGTTAAGTTCCTCCTAATCCTCCTATACGTGCAAATATTTTAAATACAGTTTAAAGACAGTAAATATTATCATTTTAAAAATAGAATCTTTTCTCTCCCTTTGTCCACTTCCTTCAGTCTATAGGAACTTGTCAGCAACTGATACTAATAAGCATTTTGACTTAGGAAATATCTTAGAGGAAGTATACTAAGAACTTGAATTTTGATGAATGATGTGACAGTTATAACTGTCTTAAACTCTACTTAACACTTTCAATTTTTATTTTCAGGTCCCCCAAGGAAAATGGCAGGTAGAGTACTTTTTGGCACTTTTTATACTGTTCACTGATTGAAAAGGCAGTTTAGAAAATATGGTATGCTATATTTTCAATATGGAATAACTTCCAATATTAGTGTCCAATATTCCAATATTAGTGTCCAATATTAGTGTCCATCCCCTTACAGATCAGGGGTTGGCAAACTTTTTCACTTAAGGGTCAGGTAGTAAATATTTTAAGCTTTTCAGGCCATATGTTCTCTGTTGCAACTACTTAACTCAGCCATCAGATGAATGTAGATATTGGTAATACACTGAAAATGAATGAGCATGCCTACATTCCAGTAAAACTTAATTTATGGAAACCGAAATATGATTTCATGTAATATTCACATGTCATAAAATATTCTTGTTTTGATTTTTTTTTCATTTAAAAATATAAAATCCATTAATTGATGGACACTGGGCTGGATTTAGCTCACAGGCTGTAGTTTACAGATCCATGCCATACACTGTTGACTGCCATGAACTTTTTTTTTTTTTTTAATGTTTTATTTATTTCTAGGAGAGGGAGAGAGAGCGTGAGCAGGGGAGGGTCATAGAGAGAGGGAGTCACAGAATCCAAAACAGGCTCCAGGCCCTGAGCTGGCAGTCAGCACAGAGCCCGACGCGGGGCTCGAACCCACGAACCGCGAGATCATGACCTAAGCGAAAGTCGGACGCTTAACCGACTAAGCCACCCAGGCGCCCCTGTCATGAACTTTTAAATGTTGAGTTATACTTAATTAAAATAGGAATGAAAACTGCCATTAATGTAAGCAGTTTCAAGTATACTGTCATTCAATAACATAATCAAGTGTCACTTTAAGTGGTAAATGAAGGGGAGAAAGCTAATCTCTATAATAGTTCATTTGCAAAAACAGTTGCTCTCTAGAATTTCTGAGAAGAAGCATATAAAAGTATAATCAAATACCCATTGTGGTAGTTGATTGTCATTTTTTTGCCTTTGGATTCAAATTTATTTAAAATTCATTTTCTCAGGGTGCCTGGGTGGCTCAGTCGGTTGAGCGACTAACTTTGGTTCAGGTCACAGCTTCACAGTTCTTGAATTCAAGCCCCACATCCGGCTCTCTGCTTTCAGTGCAGAGCCTGCTTTAGATCTTCTGTCCCTCTTTCTCTCTGCACCACCCCTGCTCATGCTTTCTCTCCAAAAAAATAAACATTAAAAAAACTCATTTTCTCTTGCAAAATTGATAAGTATAATAGAAAATTTATGAAGCAAATTTATGGGTTATTATGGGCATGTTTAGACATACAGTAATACTCCATTGTAATATTTTATATCTGAAAAGAGTTTTCTTACTTCTTCATTTTTTTTTTTTAATTTTTTTTTTAAATGTTTTATTTATTTCTAGGAGAGAGAGAGAGACAGCGTAAGCAAGGGAGGGCCAGAGAGAGAGGGAGTCACAGACTGAAACAGGCTCCAGGCTCTGAGCTGGCAGTCAGCACACAGCCCGACGCGGGGCTCGAACCCACGAACCGCGAGATCATGACCTAAGCGAAAGTCGGACGCTTAACCGACTAAGCCACCCAGGCGCCCCTTCTTACTTCTTCATTTAGTGTCAATTTGTTATTTGTATGTTTCATGCCTGTGGTGATATCTCTGGTCCTTTGTAGTATTTGCTGCTTTCCACTCACAGAGTCCCCCTTAGGATCTCCTGCAGGTCTGCTTTAGTGATCATGAGGTCCTTCAGTTTTGTTTGTCTGGGAAAACCTTTATCTCTCCTTCTATTCTGGATGACAGCCTTGCTGGATAAATGATTCCTGGCTACATACTTTTCCTATTCAGCACATTAAATATTTATTCTCCTTCTGGAGGTGAGAATATTTTGCCCAAGACAAACTGATTTGCCATAAGTTATATGACTAGGAGGTATCAGATATTTTGACCAAGGTAATCACAATTTTGGTTTCTATACTCTTTTTCTATGTAAACTGTTCTGTGTGTATATATTATAGGTATATGTGTTGATGGTCAGTTCTCAACCAGAGGGCCTGATCACTTAATTGTTGCCCTCTTGGCTTCATTAGAATATGAAAACAACCCAAACTCTCATGTTAACCCTATGACCAAAAGACTGGTATCCAGTTACTGAGTACTAAGTCCTCAATAGGGACACAGACAACAATATGAAGCCTTTAGATTATGATAGAATTGTTAAACTAGGTACAGTTTCTAAAATTGTTCAGTATTGTCAGATATTAGCCACTTGATAGAATTTATTCATAACTTTTTGTTATACTTGTGTTCTGACCTGTGTATGAATGAATGTATGGCACAGAAATAGTCCATTTATATAATATATAACCTCTGTCTTTCTCTTGCTCCATAAGCATTTATATGCATATGAAATTTTCTATTTGCTTTGTACTTGTCTCAAGGATCACATATTATTTTAAGTTAGTAGATGACCCATTTGAAGTGAATTAATAATATATCTGCTTGGTATACTTCAAAACTTCAGCTCCAGGCTTTGTAAGTGTGTCCCTTCTTTGTAATAGAAGAGATTTTATAAAGGATGTCTGAGTTTCTCTGAAATATGTTTATTTTGGTTGATCTTAATGAGAGGTGATACTATTATTTTTTTCCTCTTTAAAATCTGTGCATGTTAAACAGCCAATCAGGGCATTTGAGGTAAGAGAGTAAGAAAAGGTAAATTTCATCTCCACATGATTGATATTTCTGGAAATAGGTGTCAGACAGAGAAACTTCCTCTATATAGCATAAGCTGTTTCAGTCTAGTTTAGAAGATAAAAGATGGTGATACAGTGGTGGTTGGTTAACTCAGAGGTTCTGTGTGTGGAGAGCCAGCACTGCTTTCTTCAATCAGATAACATTTTGTCTTCCAGTGTGCATGCTGCTTCTTATGTGCTTCCTTGGCCTCTGGGCTTTCTTTTTTTCTGTCCCTCATCCTGAGATGTCTCTCTACTACATTTACCATATCAGAACTCAGTCTGTTTTGGATCATAGAGACATTCTCAGTTCTGAGAGTAGAAGGTTTCCTGATTCCTTAAGCATTTCTTTGAGTTCTTTTTCTAGGACAAAACATGGTGAAGAATTGCAGCATACCTCCAAGGCACTTTATCTTTTTAAATGAATTTCTCCTAACTAAATAAGGTAGACTAAGGCAGAAGTATTATTTTTAGATATCCAAGGGAAACATTGGGAGACAAATTATATTTTGTCAGTAAAGAGTAAGACCCATAATCTAATCCAGATTGCACAGATTTCTTGATCCAGGAACATTTCCTTTGATCTTCTCCGTATGATATTTAAAAGTCATGCAGGGCACATGGTAGACTCCCAGTGAAAGTTGATTCTTCTTGTCTGGCTTTCTGCATAGCATAGGAATGAAATCAGGGTTTTTTCCTTCATTTTTTCCTTATCACTGCTTTCTGTCTTAACATGAAATAGGTTGTGCAAAGACCCCCAGAACCTCACCTTTCTGGAGATGTAGTCATGGTCCATCCCATAGAATTTGGGAAGAGCATGCACATCCTCAGGGTTAGGTTGTGGCTGTGAAGTAAAATCTCTAAAATATTACTCAGAAGACTTAAATGTATGAAGATAATATATGCTCTTTAATGTGAAAAATGTAGAGACTTTCATATTTAGGGACTAAAATTCTTCAGATCAAGTTAGGAGTATCATACTGTTATTTAAGTGGCACAAATTAGTCATCTTATCTGCCTGAAATAGTGAATAAAATTGACTGTTATTTCTTTCACTATTTTTAAAAGTAATTATTGAACTACTCTGAGTCAAGCATTGTGCTAGATGCTTGGAACACATAAATGTGTGGTGAGTTCTGACCAGTAGATGTCCCTCTTACTATTTTATTCTACCTCAGTGCCATCCTTTGGTTATTTTAGCATACTTTACTGAATTTATTTCTTTACGGAAGAGGATCAGGACCTCTTGAATCAGTGTATTCTGATATGAAAAATTAAGAGACTGAAGGAAGTTCTAGTTAACAAGCTGATGTCTTACTACTTTGTAGAGAATCACATGGTCAAAATGCTCAGTTACCACTTTAAACCACCCTGTTAGAAGTGATAGCTTATATGATCTGGGAGGAAAACCTTACGGAAGTTACTCAGAGTAAGATAAAAACACCACAAAGGCCTGATTACTTGTATTGCTGGTAAGGGATGTCACTTTCATAGTGTCACCTGTCATCCAGGGTGTGAATCTGCAGTAAGCAAGCCTAGCACAGACCCAGAACTGCCTGTACTCCCATGAAGAACAGGTCTCTTAAGACCAATTCATGCTTACCAAATCATAAGATATGATGCATTCTCTAGGATGCTGATTGATTTACTTAAAGCAAGAAATCTGCCAAGTGACCAATTGTTGCATTGTATGGCTCATGCATTCTTTACCTATAGGAAAATCTGTAGGGAGTTATAATCAAAAGTTTCCTTTGCAAGCTCAAAATAAGAGAAAGGAAGTTGGGTGATCTTAATGGCCAGTATCATTAAGCCATGCTAGCTTATTGTGACTATCTCTAATCTAGGGAATCTACTTTTATAGGGAAGCCATAATACATTGATCAGAAGATTTCCACTAAATAGTGAAATAAATTAGTTAACTAATCCCTTTTTCTAGAATCCATGAGATCATTCTCATTATGTTGATAATTTTTGTTTAGTTATGTGTATACCTTGATTAGACTGTAGGTTTCTTTTTATATTCAGACAAGTTTAGATTTTTATTTATTTTGTGGGTACTGAGTACCCTGAAAATATCATGGTGAATATTGAGGATAGAAACTCAAAGAGAGACTGAAAGGCAGTCACTTTAAACAAAATCCTTTTACAAAACCACAAAGGCTGTAATCAAAGAATATATAATAATTTGTAAGTGAATTAGAGGAGGGAGTGCTTAAATTATTTGTATGCTTCGGTTTGGGAGTCAGTTTGCTCATATGTGAATTTCTGAAGGAGGCAAATTGTCTTCATCTCATGTCTATCTTGAGTAGTCATCTTTGGGAAGGTAGTGTTCTCCTTTCCTGTGGAAGGATCTTGGTGTGACTTGCTGGTTACTGCTTCTGATGACTGTGTCTCATAGACAGACTGGAAGCCAGAGTGATGACTAGAGCAGAGCTCATATGACTTTTTTGGATAATAGTTTAATAAAGTCTACTGAGAGTATAGCATAGTAGTTCAGAATGCAGGTGCTGGAGTCAGGCAGATCTGTGTTTGAATCTTGACTTACACGTTGGAAAATTTTAGGCAAATCCTCTAACTTCTTTAAATCTCAGTTTCTTCAATAATAATCTGAAGATAATAAAGCCTTTATAGGGTGATTATAAAAATTAAATGAGATAAAGCATGTGAAATACCTGTCACATTGTCTGCAGAGCATGGTGGTGACATCCATGCTTTTTGAGACCCTCCCCCCTCCCAGGTGTAATGTTTGTTCTCTATGGGTCTAAAGCTCCTTTCTTTGTGCTTCCTTAGCAGGGCCTAATCTGTTCTCTCTTTTAATCTATAGTGGCATAGATGTTCACTATGCAGTTACCTTCAATGGTGAAGCCATCAGCAATACCACCTGGGACCTCATTAGCCTTCATTCCAACAAGGTGGAAAACCATGGTCTTGTGGAACTGGATGATAAGCCCACTGCTGTTTATGCAATTAGTAACTTCAGAGATTACATTGCTGAGACGCTGCATCAGAATTTTTTGTCAGGCAATTCCTCTTTGAATCCAGATCCTGACTCCCTCCGGCTTATCAATGGTGAGTTGATATCCATCATAAAGTCCTTGTAAAGCTTTAGTTTCTCTTCCAGTATACTCGGGGGAAAACCGATTTCCTTGAATAAATGTGGTTCTGAGCATTCTCTATCATAGTATGAATCATAGTATGAATGGAGCTTTAGCCACAGAGCTATTTTGGAGAGATCAGTCAAGAGCTCTTGGGAGTATTTGCAGACAAAAGACCACAAAAAGGGGAGAGTAGAGAAGAGCATGATATTTAGAAATAGTTTAGGGAAATGGGAGCAAAATATAAGAAAAACAGATGTAGGATCTTTAAGTGTGAATGGAAACAGGTTATAGGGCTGCCCAAGCAATGAACTCGTTAATTCTCTACAGGCAAATCAACAGCCAGAGAGCAGAAGATAAAGAGTAGCTCAGGAAAGTTCAGGGAAGATCTTGGTCAAAGAAGAAGTGAGACTGAGTGGTCAGTCAGGAGAATCCTAGAGAATCCAGTAATAAGTTTGAATTTAGATAGTTGGAGAGAGCCAGTTATGATCTGAAATTGATAGGTGGATCTGGCATCATCAAGGAAAGGTTGACTACTTTGGATTTAGAGGCTAAGAAGTGGCCTAGTTAATCTCTGACTAAAGTTTGCTAAGAATCTGGTAACTAGTGTTGCATGAGTTTAACTCATCAGGGATATGGTGTCCTGTTCAATTACTTGCTACTTCAGGTTTCCTTGTTTATTATTTCTTCACTTATGGGTAGCCAAGCTTTTAAAATGTCCATGGAGTATATTTTATTGAAGTGATTGCATGGAAGAAGTACCAGCTGCCAAAGAGGAAAATTCATGAATGAGAGGCCATACTAACAATGATGCATTTTATATCCTACATTTTCTACAATTTTTCTTTCAATTCCTACATTTTCTTAAGAGAAGAGAGCCTGTATCTTTTCAGGCAGTTATCACCTAGACCATGTGTGTGTGTGTGTGTGTGTAAATAAATAGACACAAGAGAGAGAAAAAGGGTTTAATAAAATTTTACTTTGTATAATTACTTCTTCCTAAGTAAGTATTTTTTTGAGGGCTGAACTAAAACTTTAAATTGCTTTTCAATTATTTTGGCTGCTAGACTGATGTTTCCTTAATATGACAATGTGCTAAGTCAGAGCCACAAAGTAGCTTGGACTTCATATGGGCTAAACAGAACTTTAAAGTGGAGAAACACTTTCTTTGTAGATGATAGTGATATTAGGCTATCTGTTCTAAAACACTAGAAAACCTTCATATTTTGGAGCAGTGCAGGTACCCTGGACTTATTTTTATTTATTTATTTATTTTTTTACAAATAGTTCATTGTCAAGTTGGTTTCCATATAACACCCAGTGCTCATCCCCACAAGTGCCCCTCTCCGTGCCCATCCCCCCTCCCCCCCACATCCATCAGTCTTCAGTTTTTGTCAGCATTCAAGAGTTTCTCATGGTTTGCCTCTCTCCCTTTCCCCCACTATTTTCCCCCTTCTTCTCCCCCATGGACTTATTTTCTCATATACTCCTGTTTCATTGTTCTATCTTCTTGGAAGACCTGAGCTAGATAAAATAGTGAAAAGAGAAGAGGCTTATTTTAATCTGAAATTGCTGAAGTCCTTTAGACAAGGCTAGTATAGACCAGCTGAGGACTACCTATGGGGACAACAAATAGGCAGAAGTTCTCAGGAATCTGGATATTGGGATCAGAGAAAAGACATAGCTAGGAGGTCATGACCTGAAGGGGATAGGAAACTAAACTGAGCAGAAGGTACAAATACCAAGGTTAATAATGAAGGTAGTAGAAGAATGACATGAAGATTAAGGTACACAACAGGCCAAGTGAGGTTGTGTAGGAAACTAAATCCAGCATAGCAAGGTCTCCTTTGTATGTGGAGCCTGGGAGTAGATCTCTCTCCTAGAAGATGTCCTAAAAACGAGTTTAACAACTGAGGATTTAAATTAAATTAAATTAAATTTTTGTTAAATTAAGCAAATTTAACAAAAGCTTTAGGATATACAGTACAAACTAATTCAGGTGCTTTGATCTTTCATTAAATGAATGTTTCAGTTATACAAAATTTCGTCCCTAAAATCTATTTCTGTTTTCATGCCAACTGGGCATTCTGAATAGCTTCAGCTTTCTAGATAACTTGGTCATCATTTTTTAAAGATATATCATCTTTGACCATAGAAGACATGAGAATAACAAACACAGTTGTAAAGAGTTTTGGAAAATACTTAAACCAAATAGAGTTTTTGGCTTTTGACTGATCCCTGTATGTCAGACCAGTACTAACAGGTGAATAAAGAGAGATTCTGCTTCTATTTTTAGTACATACACCAGATCAAATTGGGGCAATCCTTTTTTTTTCTTTAGTTTTTGTAGATTCCCTCGCCTGTTCAGGCAAAATAAATTTCTTCTTTGTATCTCAAATATGGTATTACATGCCCCTCACTTCATTTTGAATTTTTTTTTAATGTTTTATTTATTTCTGAGAGAGAGAGACAGAATGAGCAGAGGAGGGTCAGAGAAAGAGGGAGACACAGAATCTGAAACAGGCTCCAGGCCCTGAGCTGGCTGTCAGCAGGAGCCTGACTCAGGGCTCGAACCCACGAACCGTGAGATCATGACCTGAACCGAAGTCGGATGCTTAACCGACTGAGCCACCCAGGCACCCCATCCTCACTTCATTTTGTAATTTGTGTTTATCTCTCTGACATAGGGGATACTTGTATAGGAGAAACTTAACTTTATTAATATTTATAGTCTCAGCTTTATCAGTTTGTGTAACTGAAGGATTCAATAAATCTTTGTTGAATTAAATTATACAATCTACTGTCTTACCTTTATTGCTCTTTAATACTGGCATAATGATAAACTCTCTGGTGTCCTAGTCCATTTTTCAAAGTACCTTCTGCCAAAAAGGAAATAATTTTGCATAATTTTCTCCATTCTTAGCATCCACCAAATGAGTTGGAATTTCAGCTTAACTTCCTTATTAAAGTGAAAAAACCAGTTTAAAAGCATCTCCACAGAAATCTTGAAAAGAGTAAATAATGCTTGAAAAAAGAAAAATAATATAGGAGTGTCTTAAATGTAATAATGAGAAGAAGAATATTTTATGTCGGAGTCTTATAATTAAGATAGATGTGTTAATATTGATGTAGGCAGGCTGGGTTCAAGGAGACCAGCCAAGAGAGGGTCCTTCAGGACAAGCCAAGAGGGTCCTTAACTATACCCAGGACCGAAATAAAATGCAAGCTAGCAGGAAGTGAGCAGAGTTATTGAATACGTATATATATATTCTCTCTCTCTCTCTCTCTCTCCATATATATATTCTATAGAGAGAGAGAGAGAGAGAGAGTGAGTGAACAGATACAGATGATGTATCTGGGAGACTTGGAAAAGGAGAGGAGAGAGTCTTGTCTTTGCTGGGAGTCTGGGGTTTTTACTGAGGGTTGTGGTCTAGTGTACATGTCGTCCTCTCAGGCATCCAGGAATCAGCTAGAACAAGCACAGGGGTCCAGGGGTCCTTCATAAGTCACATTCCTTGGAGCCAGCGGGTCTTGGCATTGAGATGTCTAGTACCGGTGGTCTGGAATATGGATATGATGACCTTGTCTGGTCACTCTTGTGTGGTCTTTCCTTAGATGTTATCTATTGTGCTGGAAGGCTCTAAAGAAATCATTAATTCCTTATCCCTTACAAGGAGGACATACACTGTTCTGTAAAGCATGTGTAAAGTGAGGATGTAAGTCCTAGTAAGAATAGAAGCAGGAAAAAGAGCAAAAAGCAGATTTTTATGGAGTCCTTCAGTTTCCCTATCTCAATATAAGTAAAATATCTGAATAAAGAACAGAGATTTTCTAAGCAAGTTTCCTTTGTCTGTTGTGCCAAATCTAAACTGTAAAATGGAACAACTTGGTTTTTAGTTCCTGAACCTCAAATACAACAGTGTCTCAACTAAAAATGTTTTTTATATTGTTCTTCCTTCAGTGAGAGGAGTTTTACTTCCTGAAACTGAAGACCTAGTTTGGAACATCCAAAGTTCAAGTCTTCAGGCAACCCTACCATCCATTATGGTAAGTATGTTTCTATGTTTTCTGCCTAGAGTTAGGCCTTTAAACTTTTCTTCTTGGTATACTCACCTGCTTACTTTGGCAACATGTAAATTTCCTGAGCTGTTGCCATTTCAGATATTTTCTTACATCATCCTTGGAACATGATTCACAGTTGTCAGCTCCAGAGTCCCAAGTATTGGTTAAGAAAATTTAAGCCTTCTGCAGTGGTTAAATGAAGTCTGTGGTGGTTAATTGCCAAGCTCCACATGTGGTATAAAACTTATTTATGGTTTGTATTTGGTAATAATTACGCTATAAGTGCCCACTGAGTTATTCTCTATAAGTTACTCAGAAATAGTTTTTATAGCCAAGACTATAAATTGAAGCACATAGGGACAGAGTATAGATTTGTGCTCCAAGAACTGTATTGAAGAAAAATCCAAAAATGCTTCAAAGCATATAGAATAATGTGTGTATGGAAGAGTAAGAAAGAACAGTAAAAATAACAGCTAGCTGACAAATGACGAGGGGTCAAAATCAGGCCTCCTTTTAACATGGACTGAAAACATTCCCATTTCACAGGAAGAGCATAGAATGAACTTTCCTTTTTGTTCTTACCACGCAGCTCCCCTGGGTGATCTTCTACCCTCTCCACACCTCCACCTGCCACTTCACCTATAGAGAGGCATCTAGTAGAAAACAAACTGGCTTCCAGTGTAGTTGAAACAAAAACAGCACTGACAACCATACAACCACAACCACAACACCACTAGAGGCTAGCTGGTTACAATGCATACATGAGTCTTTTGTTATCCCATAGACACAGTAGGGAGCTCCTTCTACATTCCCTACTGCTACTCTCTTGAGACTTTTCTGTCTCGTATCAGCTTTTTAAAACATTTGTTTCTTGACGTTAATCCTTCAGTGAACATTTATAAAGTCTCCCCAAAATTCATTTAACCATTGATATATGCAGCCATTTCTTCTACTCACTTATTCAGCAACTCAATTTTGAAATGTGATGTCATTAGAAATACTCTTTATTGAGTTCCATATTAGAGAAAGAAAGTTAAGGGGGATTGACATTAGAGATTACATTATTTGGTGTTTATTTATTCATTCACTTATTCATTCATTCAAATATATTTATTTTGTGCTTTTCATGTGCCAAGGGCTGGACTTGCCTACAAGAAGTTTCCAGTCAAGTAGACAGATGTCTACACAAATAAGGTGATACTGTCATAGAGGTCTATTCAGGACGCAGTGGCAAACGGCGATTCACTGTGAACATGGCATCACTAGTCTTCTTGCCTTCTAATCATTCATCTCAGGCTTCTCTAACCACAGACCTGTGATGATATTGAGAATGATGTTATAATGATAGGAGTTTCAATATAAGCCAGAGGTTGCAAACTGGAGACCTGCCAGCTAGATGCAGCTATAAGTATATGCTTTGGGACCAGTTTTTTTTTGTTGTTGTTGTTTGTTTTGTTTTGTTTTTACAAAGCCAATATTTAGCAATTAGGATAGTTTTACAGAAAAATACAGATTTCCAACTTCTTTTGAAAACCAGGATGACCTGGTATAATTAGGTTCACATTCCCCTGTTGCAGAAAGTGGCTAGGGTTTGACTAAAAGGGGATGCCCCTTCAGCGATGACAAGCATTGACTAACTGGGCTCACGTGTTTATTCATGGTGCCTATAATGTGGTTCCATTTGCATCAAAGCCAACCCTTCAGTTTTTTGAATAGTGATAACTGTGGGGCATTAAGAAACAATTTGAGTTGACAGTGGAATGTTAATGGATGATAATAAGGCACAAAAAAAAAGTGATTAATTAGAAATGTGTGGTTATTGGTTTTCCTTCGTCTGTTTTTGGGCAACTGTTAACAAGATTTTGTTCTTTCATAAAAATGAGATTTAAATTTTTTTTATGGATTTGATTTTTAGAAATTATTTTAGAGGTAGGAATGTTGAGATATTGAATTTGACACCTTTTGGCATCCTGACTTGGAAAATCACATGTTGCACAGTATGCTTTCTATAGCACTAGAAAGCTTTTGAACTGGCATACACAGATGTGAAACTGGCCAGTTTAAGTTAATATACTACATTGAACTAAAAGAATTCTTGAGTTGAATTTGTTACTATAGGAACACCTATTCCTATGAAAATAAATGAAGTGCTATTGCTGGCATGTATATGTTATACCTTTCACAACGTATGACAAAGCTTCATTGCTAAGCTATTTTCTAGGGGGTACTTATTTGGAGTAGATTAGATGGTCATCCTTATTTAAAAAGTCAAGTTGTTTCCTTTTACTTTTTATGTGGCCTCCTTGTGACTGGATTTTCATCAAAGATGTTATGGGGGCGCTTGGGTGGCTTAGTCGGGTAAGCGTCTGACTTTCGCTTAGGTCATGGTCTCTCGGTTCGTGAGTTCGAGCCCCGCATCGGGCTCTGTGCTGACTGCCAGCTCAGAGCCTGGAGCCTATTTCAGAGTCTGTATCTCCCTCTCTCTCTGACCCTCCCCTGCTCACGCTGTCTCTCTCTCTCTCTCCTAGAAATACTAATAATAAAAAAGATGTTATGTATTGTTTTACTTTTAATTTTTATGGAATGGAAAAGCATATTATTTGTAGACACTGAAATTGTGTATATTGTTTGGGGATTTCTTTTTCATTGAAGATTGAGCTGCCTTCCTAGAGTGTGTCTGATCATAGGAACTGTCTGATAAAACTCAATTTTTTCAGCTCGGGTTAAAGTGTTTAAGCCATTTCACTTGGAATTTTGAAAAAATGCACATGTAGAATTTGTAAGGATATAAATATGCCTGACTCAGCTGGGTGAATGAATAGTTTTAACACATCTCTTGAAGTGGTTTTAGATAAGTAAGAGGGAAAAAAGTCAATTCCCTATATGGTATGATGGTCATCATAACTACTTTTTTGAGGAACGAACTTGGCATTGAGCAAGTGGCCGCCTTACTTCTCCTTGAATGCATGTATGATTTTAGATGCTAGAAAAATAAATGGGAAAGGAAGAAACTTTTTTTTCTTTGTTTGTCTATCCAAAAAGCCTCTGTATTCAACATACCAGATATTTACATATTAGAAAATTATCTTGGGGCATCTGGGTCGGACTTTGGCTCAGGTCATGATCTCATGGTTCATGGGTTTGAGCCCTGCATCAGGCTCTGCTATCAACTCAGGACTTGCTTCATATCCTCCGCCTCCCTCTTTCTCTGCCCCCTCTCTCTATCTCTCTCAAAATAAATAAAATTTTTAAAAAACATTAAAAAGAAAAAGAAAATGGTCTTTCCTCTATCTCTCTGCTCTGTTTACCTGGGTCTTATAGACCTGGGGACATCTGCTAACCTGACTGAGAATGGACTGCCAAGGCTGTTAGCTCACGTTTCTCCTCTAGGAATCCTTTTGCCATCTGGTTATAGACATTTGTATGTATCTCTCAGTGAACAGTCTGGTATAATGGGGAAAACACTGGGACAGAGAAGTCCCTGTGTAGTTCTGAATTTTTCCTCTATTTTCTGTGACTGTGGGCATTTCACTTCTATGAAACTCAGTTTCTTATCTTTAATAGGCAAGACTATTAGACTACATGATTCAAGAGTCCTTTTCTAGTTCTAAAATTTGATACTTTATATTATTCACACACATGCATATGCTTACCTCCCTAAGATGGTATTGAAACTCAGTTTCCAGTGTGTGAAGGGAGAGTATTCCCACATAGCACCACCTAATTCTCCAAACACCAGCTGGGTATCCAAGGATTCAACTCCATTCTGACACTAATTACCCAGAAATAGCATTAGATTCCACAGGTTAAGGGCTCGGTTCTACAAGACTGCCTCTGCACTTCTACCTCAGACACACGTTATTGCAAGCCTGTGTTGCTACCTGTGTTTCTGACCAACCAGCTATAAATCATAAGTTCCCATGACTTTGTCCTCAGATTTGATTAATTTGCTAGGATGGCTCACAGAACTCAGAGAAACATTTTGCATACCAGATTGCTGATTTATTATAAAAGTATACAGCTCAGGAACAGCCAGATGGAAGAAATGCATAGGACCAGGTATGTGGGAAGGGGTGCAGAGCTTGCAAGGTGTGCCATTCTCCCCCAGTCTCCAGGTGTTCATCAACCCAGAAGCTCTCTGGATCCTATCCTTTTGGGTTTTATGGAGGCTTCATTATGTAGGTGTATTTATTTAAATCATCAACCATTGGTAACTGATTCAGCCTCTAGTCCCTCTCTCTATCCTGGAGTTCTCAGGTGGGACTGAATGTTCCAACCCCTTAATCACATTGTTGATTTCATTGGCAACAAGCTCCCATCCTTAGGTGCCCTCTAAAAGTCACTTCTTTAATGTAACAAAATACACTTTAGTAATTCTTAATACTTAGAAACTTCCAAGGGTTTTGGGATCTGTGAGCCAAGAATTGTGGACACTAAGACCATATATATATATGTATTTTTAATAAATTACAATATTGTGCCTCTTTTCCTAACATGAGATTTATAAACCAAAGGAAGAAGGTTTTTTAAGTAACTGAGCTTCTGGCAATATGAAAGCTGGCATTTTTAATTTTTTTCATTTCACACTCTGTATTTGAATTTATTGTCTTTTCATGTATCTGGAATTGAACTCTTGCTCTTTTCATCCAGATTAGTTTTTCTTTTTTTTTTTTTCCTTCTCAGGTTTACCAAGATATAACGGACATATAACATTGTATAAGTTTAAAATGTATGTGGTAATTTGATACATGTACATATTGGGAAATGATTACCATGGTAGGGGTAGTTAACACCTCCATCACCTCACATAATTACCTTTTTTTTGTGTGTGTGTGTGTGGTGAAAACACTTAAGATCTACTCTCTTAGCAATTTTCAGGTATGTTAACTGTTTACTATAGTCATGTTTAACTATAGTCATGTTTAACATTAGATCCCCAGAACTTATTCATCTTTTTTTTAAAAGAACTTTTTTATGTCTTTATT